CGATACAGTGAATTCAACATGGTCACCTGTTCTCTTCTCCTTCCAGCAGCTTCCTGTAGGTGGCGATCTCGATGTCCAGGGCCATTTTGACGTTGAGGAGGTCCTGGTACTCCCGCAGGTGGCGAGCCATCTCATCCTTCATGTTGTGAATGTCGTCTTCCAGCCGCGCCACCGTTTCCTGATAGCCCGCTGTCTCCGCCGAAAAGTTGTCCTCCATCTCTCGCATCTGCCGCTCCAGCGACTCGTTCTGGGGAGAAAGCGAGCGAGCGTCGGAGCTTCCATCGTAAGCTTGAAGGTAATGATAGACGGGCTACTCACGGTTCCCTTGAGGGCATCCACCTCACAGGTAAGAGCCTGAACCTGGCGTCGGTAGTCGTTGGCCTCCTGCTTGGCCAGCCTCAGAGCTTCGTTGTTGCGGGCGGCCGCTTCAGTGAGATCGGCAAACTGAGAGGAAATGAGCCAGTACAAAGAGAGGAAATAATGAAAGGTGCAATCTGGGCATGAAGTCGGGGTAAGAAGAAACATGCTTTTTTGGTTTTTGTGAGAGAGTGAGAGCACTCAAACTGCAGTACTCCATTATTTCCACAGGGGGCGGTAGAAGCTTGCTTTTAGGTAAAACCTGCAGTTGATGTCACCTGATCCAAAACTTTGAACATTCTGGCTTCCACGTATTGCTCTGCAGTAAGAGTCCGTGTGCAAAAATATTGGGCAGAAAATCCCGCGACATAGCGAAAATGAGGCCATGTTAAGTATGATAAAACTATCCGCGAAGAAGTGAAGCCGTAAAAAGGGAACTATGATAGAGTGAAGGGAACACGATATTGTATACAACGTTGCTTTTGCAAAATTACGCAATTTCTGACAGTTTTAGTGTAAAACGTGCAACAATGCGAAATGACAACAAATATTAAATAAATAAATGCAGAGGAAGAGGCTGCTTTTCGTGCGTGAATGCATTCCAGCGATGCGATCTAAAATCCAAACCTTGGACTTGTACCAATCCTCAGACTCCTGGATGTTTTTGGAGGCCAGGTTCTCATACTGCAAACGGACGTCCCTCAGGGCAGCAGTCAGGTCCGGCTTGGCCACTTCCATGTCAACCTGCACATGCTGCTGCATGTGGATCTGGTTCTGCAGCTCCAACATTTCCTGTCAAGCAAGCCATGGAACCAGTATGTGCTCATGTCACATAACGATTTCTATTCCTGTATTGCTTTGACCCCCTCAGCAGATAAAAAAAGAGAGCCCTTGAGAGTACGTGGGCAGTATATCCTCAGTTGCCGCACAAAAAAAGAGGCTTACCTCATCATGCAGCTTCTTGAGGAAGTCAATTTCCTCCTGGAGAGAATCCACCTTCCTCTCTAGGTCCAGTCTGGCGAGGGCAGCGTTGTCCACATCCTGCACCATGATACCCACAAGCCGACCTCGTAAGTGTGCTTTAAGGTGACATGAATTATATCTTGCATCTTTGCTGACACCACGGGACGCTTTCCAGCCTCCTTTACACAGCTCCTCCTCATAATTGTGGTAACTTTCATCACACACATGTTTGATCCAGCTCTGACTTCCCGAAATTGAGTTTTGTAAGAGTTCCTTTGCTTTTGATGGCGAGTGATCAAACTTGGCCACCAAGCCCATGCGTCAAGGTCAAACGGCAAACGTGTCAGTTTAGCCTTGTCTGACGGTCTTCTCCAGTGATTCTCAAAATGCGCTGAGTATCAGTAGTGGTGCACGGGCTCCCTCTTGTGGTATGTGACAGAATCACTGAATTCAATGTTCAAATTCTGCATCATTTTACGCCGGCTTGAACTTTTTTAACACAGTACATATTTGAACAACTATTCATTTGTATTTATTTGTTTTGTAGTTCTCCTGATGACGTCACACTGCCAAGCTTTGTCCTCCGCATTTTGGCAGGTCGTCAAATGAGGTATCAGCAAATGAAGCGGCTTTGCTCGGCGCTAATGCCACAAACAAAGTGAGCTATTCAGCCCGGGTATCCCAAACGGGCCGGGGGGCTAGGAGGGTGAATGTCTGCCTGACTGAGCGGGCCAGCGTGCAGGCAGCGAATGCCTCATTGTTGGCATGACACACCAAGTTCCTTCCTGCCATTCTTATAAAACATAGCGTATGGGCTGCCCACGCACGCATCCACTGCCAACATTATATATCGAGGTAGAGCGAGGTAAATGTGTCTACACACACCTGTTTAAATGACACCAAAATCATCTAAAAACTTTTTTCCATGATCAGTATTACCAACAACAGGGTCACCAGCACGGTGCCCGTGGGCACCAGTTAGCGCCAAAAGACCACATGAGTAGCACAAAGGCCCATTCTAAAAACAGCTCACAAGTGGTGGGACATTGTAATTTCCTAGATTTTTTTTTTATATAAACAGAGAGATGCAGAAATAAAGTATTGTATATCGATATCTGTAGCCTACTTGCTTGAGTCATTGTTTCATCCATCCATTTTCTAAGCCGGAATCGAACGCTCCACCTCTGCGCTGCGAGGCCGACGTGCTAACCAGCAACCCGCCATGCCGCCGTCATTGTTTCATTCTTGCTTAATTCATTTCCATAAGCATTGTCCGTCATTAACATAACATACCATACTAGACAGATGAGCGATTAATTTCCGATGCCTTTAAATGTGGGCAGGGCACATGGCGGCAAAGTTTAATGATCATCTCAAGGATTCACCATTAAAAAGGTTACACCCCCAACCCCTCCCGAACACAGTTTTCCTAATTGGGTGGACACGTAAATCATAACAGAACGTACAATAAAAGTCTGGGGACCCATACATGAAACTGAACAGGAGGTCTGCCATTTTCATTTTGGTTTGAAACAGCTGCTAACTAATATCGTCGCTGCTACTTGCATGACTCATCGGCATGATGCCATTGACTTGACATTAATCACCATACACGTAACGCCCGCCGTGCCGCCCTCATTGTTTCATTCTTGCCTAATTCATTTCCATAAGCATTGTCAGTCATTACCATAACATACCATACTAGACAGATGAGCGATTAATTTCCGATGCCTTTAAATGTGGGCAGGGCACATGGCGGCAAAGTTTAATGATCATCTCAAGGATTCACCATTAAAAAGGTTACACCCCCAACCCCTCCCGAACACAGTTTTCCTAATTGGGTGGACACGTAAATCATAACAGAACGTACAATAAAAGTCTGGGGACCCATACATGAAACTGAACAGGAGGTCTGCCATTTTCATTTTGGTTTGAAACAGCTGCTAACTAATATCGTCGCTGCTACTTGCATGACTCATCGGCATGATGCCATTGACTTGACATTAATCACCATACACGTAACGGATTCCGTTGCTCGGCGGACATATCTCACGGTGGCTTGCCCTCTCGCTCTGATAACCACATTGCGCTCACACTGTTGTTGCTCAAGTCTCATTCAGCGTGACCAGTCAGACTTAAAAAGATCTCCTCTCCTGGCAGGCCTGATTGAGCACATTAGTGCCAGCCAACCAACCAAGCATCCAACCCTGTCTTGTCCTAGCGGGCCCTGCTCTCCGGCCGTTTGGGATCATGGCTACAATCCGCTGTTGTGCCACCACAGGGGCACATTCCTGTCTCGCTGGGGAGAAAGGAAACAGTCATAGAGACGAATGGGAGACTCATGACCATTTAGTATGTCAGCATCGGTTTTAAATCACCTTACAGTGGAACCTTGAAAGTTGAACGGCTCAACATTACACTTGTGTATGAATTTTTACTCAAAACAAGGAGTGCAATGATTGGGGTCATACTATTACCTGTCGGAAGCTCTGCATGTTTGCCTCGGCCTCTTCCCTCAGGGACATCTCATCCTGCAACCTGACATGACAGACGATACATTAGGCAAGGAGTTTGAACATGTTCAAGCCTCGAGAGACTTCATTATGTACACCTGCAAAATGTAATGCCATCACAATGTTTTGTTGAAATACGTGTTTTGGCTTATTAGATGAGAAAATACCAGTAAATTGGATTTCTTTAATGTCTTGACTTCACTTAAAAATAACCAGCAAACCTAAAAATGCCACAGACATTTTCATCTGCAAATAGAAATCCTCTGCTTCCTTTTTTGATGAACACTTGGGCCTACTATGCGACTGTATTTTAAAATGTGTGAGTACAGTGTAGTAACGTAGTAACTTGACATACGTGTTCGGTCTGTGACTGAGTTTGCAACTCGTTATGTTGATCAGCGAAACTGATCAAACTGATGTTTTTTGGTAACTCTCCAGGGGGTGGCACTGCAAGAGTTTTGGGGTGTTATGTTCGGACCTATGAAATATGAATATATTTTCATTGAGTTGCACAAGTTTGAATTCAAGCGTTTTTGAGTCTGCCATATCTTTAAATAGGATTTTTATTTTTTTTAAGACTGTGGCAGTGCTTCTCCAAGTGTGGTATGTGTAATGCTCATGTTACACGAGCTCCCTCTAGCGGTACGCGCAGAAGCAATGATTTAAATGTTCAAACTGCATCGTGTTAAGAGTCATCTTAAAGTTGTTTTTAATCGAGTACAATACAATTGTTCAGTTTAAATTGTACACTGTAAAAACACGGCTTGTATTTTGGGAGCTAAAACAGTCTTTAAAAAAATCTAAATTATTGATATTTAAGGCAACAATGTTGGAACAAGAAAGCAAGCAAGTTATAGCTTCAGCAATTTAAACTGCATCGTGTTAAGAGTTCTCTTAAATTTGTTTTTAATCGAGTACAATACAATTGTTAAGTTTAAATTGTACACTGTAAAAACACGGCTTGTATTTTGGGGGCTAAAACAGTCATTAAAAAAAAATCTAAATTATTGATATTTATGGCAACAACGTTCGAACAAGAAAGCAAGCAAGTTATAGCTTCAGCAATTTGCTGAGTGTTTTTTACAGTTCAATTGTATTTAACTCTAAGGTCCATACATTTGCATGTAATCATTAAAACATTTGTTAATGTGCAATTTTTGTTCATTGTGAATATGTTCATTCATTTTCCGTTTTGTATCCCACTGATTCTCACGAGGTTCAGTTGATTGTGCAAGAAGCAGCTTATACACCCTGGACTGGTCGCCAACCAACTGCAGGGCGCATGTAGACAAAGGAACTATTCGCACTCAAATTCAGACCGAAAAGTACAATTTAGCGTCTTATACCACCCATTACATACTTGTTTTGGTAACTTGGAAGGAAGCCCGAAGAACACCAACGAAAGTACAGTATTGAGGTGTAAAAAGTTTCCGAACCACGCGGTGGCCTCCAGCTCGAGTTTTGACGGTGTACCTAATGAAGTGACCGTGCGAGTGAGCCTACTTGTCTCGGAGCCTCCCGATGTCGTCGGCCAAGTTGTCCCGGTGCACCTCCACCCGGGCCTTCTCGTTGCTCAGCTGGTCCACCTGGCGCCTCAGCTCGCGCATCTGATCCTCGTACAGGTCGCCGACTCGCGACGTGCCCTTGCCGCGGAGCTGCTCCAGCTCGGCCAGCAGGATTTTATTCTGCTGCTCCAGGAAGCGCACCTTCTCGATGTAGCTGGCGAAGCGGTCGTTGAGCGACTGCATCTGCGCCTTCTCGCTGGTGCGGTTGGCGATGAACTCGCTGTTGATGGCGTCGGACAGCGTGAAGTCCAGCTGCTCCGAGGCGAGCCGGGGCATGGCCGCGGCGTTGCTGCTGCGCAGACGCTGCGTCTTGGTGGCATAGACGACGCCGCCGGCGCCCCCGGGCGCCCCGAACGACAACACCCGGGTGGTGCGCATGGGAGCGGAATATTGGCGGCTGGAGTAGCTGCTTCTCACGGTTCTATCTCCGCCGAACATCTTCCTATAGGAGGACTGAGAAGTTGCTGTTCTGAAAGTAGACATGCCGCAAGTTGGGGTCTGTGCCGCTCGCAAGTCCGGACAACGTCACCAGACTCGCGCCTGCTTATTTATAGTCTCGTACATATGCAAATGAGCTGCGTGTTTGGAGCGACAGTGGAAGCGTCCAATCAGGTCTTAGGTCCAAGCACTCACCCCGCCATCCGCCCCATCTTCCATTCCGGGTCTTTATGGAGGTCCACCCTCAATTATTCATCTTGCATTTAAAACGAAGAAATCTAATCCCAGTCAAAGGGGAATTTTGTTGAGCTTCATCGTGTTCGTTGGGCGCACAAACGCTTCTTTCAAGCAAACTTTTCACATTTTTGCCATCTGGCAATGTCTGTGCGCTAGAGTCCCTCACTTACTGGACTTTTAATTTGTGCGAAGGAAGAAAGGAACAAATGGACGTCTCAAATGTTCCACAAGCACCTTCATATCATTGTGAATGTTAGTCGCTGATTTAGATGGAAGTGCGGCCTGCCTAATCTTCTTGTTCACAATGTTGCATTCCATAAAACTGCTTCGCTGGAAATGTTCGCTCTCGGGCTAAGACCAACGAAGGAATAATGACATGTTTTAGTTATCATCCATTCTTATACTAACGAAGATTGTTTTTGCTGGCGATGTGCAAAGAAGAATACTTGCTCGCAATGAAGTAACTGCTCGTTCATAAGATTCACTTCTCTTATAGTGACAGTAAAATTAGGAAAGAGGAAAAATGACAACACAGTCTTGCCCAAAATAATGTTTTGCAAATGATTGCACTGATGAATGGTTTGATACATGTACTCAACATGCACACACATATTGTCAAACAAGTTCACCTGTTTCCGACCACAGAACAGACACCAGTTTTTTGGAAAGCATTTTCAGTTTTTAAAATTTCCTGAACGAAAAGTTTTTTTCAATTTTAGTTTTCGTTCTAACAATAATAACCTAGTTTTGGAAAAACAGATCCCTCCGTTCCTACTGGAAATGCTATTGTTCACCTATGTGGTTTCCTATTTTATCTTATGAGCCCATTTTCAACTCTGTTGCTAACCCAAACAGCAGCACCAAAGCATGAAAACAGCCTCCCGGATTAATTTATGTGTGGGGGTTTTACCACATGTTATGAATGAGTTTTGCAATGCACAGCTATCAAAGGTGATCTGGGGCGTACGAGTCGTCTTGTCTGCACATTCATGTTTATTTTCACTTTGTAAAATAAAATATGTCTTGTAATTTGCATGTTTTTTTGGAATACTGAGTTCAACAATTTGAAAATGCGGGTCCCAGGGCGACAGCAATTGAGAACTACTGGTCTATCATATGTGGTTGAAAAATTAACAACGCTGAAGTAAAAATTTGCCGCCTAAGGGCCTCAAAGTGAGTAAACAGTGGAGCCCCTTCACTGGAAGTGACAGTGAACATTCACATGATCAACTCACTTGGAAGCAGGGAGGGAGTGAGGGGATGTGGGGGGGATGTTGATGTAAAAATTCCTGCTCCCAGGCCTCTTTATGAAGCAGCCAGGCAGGGATTGTGTATTGCTGACTTGTCAGCGAGCAGAATGCAGACAGTCGGCGCTAATTATTGTTTGTCGGGCCCCCACCGATATTTGCCGTTGTCACTGTTTGGGCCAAATTGTTTTCATTCCGCACGGGATTGTATCACGGGTTCACCTCTGCCAAGGAGGTTGTTTTTGTGGACTGTTCAATCATCGCCCAATGAAGCGTCTGTCCCACTTGTGCCAGGAATTGGGTTTTTTGTATTGCTTGTTTAAAAAAAAAAATCATGATTATAATGCAACAGCGTGTTGATTCACCGGCAGGTCTCCTGAGATGCCCACTGAGGAGATTTAGTTGTCAGGCGTGTGGCCACTCTAGAATTAATATACACACCCCTTGGAATGCCTTTTATCTCTGTGGGCCGTCCTCTCATTTGCACTCAAATTCTTTACAGGAGTGATTGGCACTCCTAAACCTCATCCATTGCACACCGAGAGCGCTGCCTGGCACACTGCCACTGTCCTATCTTGTCCCTTAATTGTCACTCCATGTCACGGTCTTCATCACAGGATGTCGTTTTGCCTGGCTTACGACCCATGCCCAGTTCCATCTTGTCCTGTGCTGTCCTGTCATAACCCTTTCTCACAAAGTGTACTTTTGCCGGGCTCACGACCGCTTTCCTGTCCTATCCTGTCCTATTTGTTACTCGTGGCATTCTTCTCACACTGGGTACAGCACTGCGTGCCTCCCTACCCCTTACTGTCCTGTTTTTTTTGTCCAATCCCATTCTGTCCAAATTGTTTTTATGTTCCCCAAAAATAAAAATTTGCTGAAGATAATTTTTTTTCTTTATGTCATTTTCCTCTCGTTTGCATTGAATAATGCATGACGTTGCAATACAACTTCAGTCAAAACAGAGCTGATGCCAGTGTGTCTGCTGTAGCTCAGCCTATTGGGAGGTCTGTGCTCAATTGAGTGCCACTTTTGTTCCTTTCATTCACTGGAGAATAACCTTCTAGTTTTAGCAGGCATCTTTCACACATAGACCCTGCGAAATGAACAGAGCGGTTTTATGCACATTTGTCTTTCACACGGAATCCAGCAAAGACTCAATCAAATAATCCAATGACGTCAGTATCTTTTGAAAATGCTCATCGGATGACCATTGGATAGTAAAATGTTAAACTTAACACCATTGTTCATCTCGACTATGGTACCACCTCATAAGACTGCATAAAAATGGCATCACAGATCTGCATGAAATGTCACATTTTACCTCCCTTCCACAATGTGACTTCAAAACCGCAGTCCTTGGGCCTTGCAAAAAGCCGCTCTTTGTTTCATCTCCCATGATGGGAAATCAGCACCCACCCGTGTGCCGGGTTGTCATAGCGATCACCCTCAACATTGTTGAAACTGCACAGAGCACATTCAAAGTGAGAGGGGATCTAAAAGTGTGGATATAAAAGGCTGTAAATCCAAGAGCCATGCCACTCCACACGATTTGCTTTTGTGATGTACGGACAATTATGGCAAGGAATTCCTCTTTTTCATCTTTATACAGGAAAGTGAAGGTTTTTTTCCCCCCATGTCAGAGTGAAAACGAGTCCTCATTTCGAGCTTCTTTGGTCCACTTTTTTTGACCGTCAGAACAAAAGATGACTGAGGGCTTTTCTCTAAATCACCATAGTGACAGACTAAAACCTTGGAAGGAATCCAAAAGGGTCACTTTATAACGCCCCCCCCCCCCCCCATCCCTTTTTTTGTGAGTATGGGTGTGTGTGAGGAAGGCGGAGGTTCACCGTGCCCTCACTCTGGATGGACTGATTTTTTTCAGTCTTAGCATGAGCGCTAGCGCCAAATGGGTTAACCTTCCCAATTGGTGCTAATGTTAAATGTCAATTGCACGTGTCTGACAGCATCAGGGAGCATCATCCACCCTGAGCCGGTGACAACTGCAGATGACACCCCCACCCTGCCCTTCAGTTAAGTGTGAAGACACTAAATACTGCGACAATTCAAATAAATGTTTTCAGGGCAGCGTGGTAGTGGTCGTTACAGCTGGCTCACTGTCCTGAGGTTCTGGCTCACTGTGAATTTTTGTCCAGTATTTTTTCTAGTACAGTATTCGTGTATTTTTTTCAATAGTTTCAACACTGCATAGTGAATGCTTGTGTATTTTTCATCGGAAATGACTGTTTTTTTGCATAATATTTTGTATTACCGGTATTTTTGTGTATCATTTTATAATTTGGGGTAGGATTTTTCACGATTTCCCCAATTATTCTAATATATTTGTCTTTGGCCAATGCTGTAGTTTTCTATTATGGCAGCATAGCGGACTGGATGATATAGAAAATAGATGTTGAGTATACAGTATTTTCCTTTCTACATCGAGATGTTTTCACTTTTCCTCGAAGTGTTTTTCATGAACAGGAATAAAGACAAGTGAAAGTCACATGTCCGCTAGCTACTAACCTTGTGAAAGTCATGAGGCCTCAAAGGTTGCTGAAGGCAGTAGTCGTTCACTTCATCCATTCTCCGAACTACTTGTCCTCCACAGTGTCGCGGGATTTGCTGGAGACTATATTTTTACAAGAACTCATCTTGTATTCCGATATGGAAAAAAAATACGGTCTGTTCAAATTGAAAAAATATCAGTCTGTTCAAATAGAAAAATATTTTATTGACTTATTTACATATTTGTGCAGCATTTTGTCACAATTCAGTCCCTTCAAAAACTGTTGAAAGTGGTCTGATAAACCACTGTCCACTATATTGTGCATTGGGGGAAAAAAGGCAGTATCGTACAGTACATGAAATGAGCAAACTATAAAACCTCTTGTATTGGCAGAAAATCAATTGAAAGAACATAAAATGTGAGGTACTTTCATTGAGTCATTGATGAGAAAGAATTACAGGTCAAGTGGGGATCCACACAGATGTTCGAGGCAAATTTTTCCTTCTTACGATCAATGTCGGCAAAGGCCTAATTTTGTCGAATGGCTCTGAAACGTTATTCTATGAATGAATTATTCCTTCCTACAATGCTCAGGTTTAGCCAACATAAACGTTTGATTGACTGGTAAAAATTTATAATCGCAAATCCTTACATTTTAAAATCCAGCTATGATGTTAAAAATCTGTATGTGTGTACCTCGCTAATTTATACCAGTTATAGAATTTGACAATACTGTCCGCACCTGACATTTATTGCATCTGCGGAGTCTTGTGACTGGTGCCGGTCACCAGGGATCCCTCGTGCTTCCACCCCAGCCGTGGACTCTTCTCCCTCAGGGTACACTTTTCTGTCCGCTATTTTAAACTCCACTGATGCGAAAGATGAAAGGCTGCAATTTTTGTTGGCTAACGTTTTGGAGGTGTCAGTCACAGGCGACACCCTGAAGCCTCTTCCTTTCGCACAATTTGTGTCTTTGCTCCGACTTTGGTCGCTAGTGTCATCCGGGAATGGGTCTGAGTCGCTTCCGTGTGGCATGGTGAAGTAGCTGCACCTTGGGGGTTGAGGCTTGGCCAGTTCTTCTAGATCAGATGAGGATATAGCTCCAAGTAGTGTGTGCTGTCTTATTTTGTGAGTCTGGGACTCCTCACTGGAGTTCCCCATGTCTTCAGAGGTAGTGTCCAAATCCCTGTACATGCCCTCAGAGACTGGTGGTGAATTCCTTATCAAATGGTTTTCCTTGAGTAACCATCGACCTTGGTCAATCAAAATGCCGTTACCGGGTTCCGGGTTCTGTTCTGTCAGAGAGGATGGGTCATTGTCACCCTTTTTGCAGCAAGACAAAACCTTCCTTGATCCTTTTGTCAGGGAGTCACTTGAAGAGAAACTTCCACCTTCGGAATGACTTTTCAATATTTTGGAGGTAGCCGACTGCGGATTAGTTCTTTCAGTCAAGCCTTCTGGGAAGCTCTCCGAAGCATTTTCGTTGTTCTCTGAAGTGATGGCCTCAGAGTCTTGGCTTTGATATGGACCGCTTTCAAAACTTTCTGGTCTGTAGTCTGATAAGTCTGAGGTGATCGGGCTCTGGAGGCATTTCGAACCATATGTGCAATCTCTTTGGATCGCTGGGTGGAGGGTAGTCTTAATTTCTGTGATTTGAGCACGATCCGGTTCTATTCTAATGTTGCCGTGATCGTCGTACGTAAATATAAGCGAGGAAGACTGGAGTGCAGAGTTTACAAAGTCCAGGAGTTCTTGTGATATTTCCACCGGGTGGCTGAGGGTGTTGCTTCGATCCTGAGGGTGGATCCCTGCCTTGTTTTCACGAGCCTTGTTTTCCACAAAGCGCTCATCAGACAAATACTCGAGTGGTGATTCGGTGCCATGGTCCATGTTTAAATTTTCTTTCTCAACGGACTCATTCTGCGGGTTTGTACCTAAGGTCTCGTCAGGAACACTGGCTGTAAGGTCTTCTTCTCCAGACTCTTTCTCAGGACAGGTGTCCTCCTCATCCAGCTTCTCTATCTGTTCTGTTAGATTTTCTTGTTCCGCATCTGCAGTAGGTTCAGGTACAACTGCATCATCACCATAACCCTTTATGTTGTTGTCCTCACTTAAGACCTCTGTTCTTTCCCCTTCCATATTGTCCTCAATGTCATCCTTTTCCTGATCTTCATCCTCCACAGCCACATCTTTTTCGTTGACCACTTCTTCAACTCCCTCACTGGGGGCACTTAATGAACCCTTGACCTCTGGATTGGGTTCTTGAAACCTCAAGCCATTTTCACTCTTTGTTTCAGTTGGTGTCCCATTTGGCTCCTCCACCTTCTCTCCAGATTCTTCCTTCGGATAAGTGCCCTCCTCCTCCTCCTCAAGCTTCCCTGTCTGCTCATTTAGATTTACTTGTTTCATGTCCATAGCAGGTTCAGGTATGGCAAGAATACCTTCCTCATTGTTCATTTCACTCAAGATGTCTGTTCCTTCTGTTTGCATATTTTCCTCAATTTCATCTTGGTCCTTTTCATCTTCACTATCATCCCCCTTCTCGCCCACGTCTTCAATTTCTTCAATTCCTTCATCATGGGGACTTTCCGTATCCTCTACCTCTGTATTTGCTTTCAGGGAACATCCCAAGTCATCTTCACTCTCTGCTTCAACTCGGGGCCGATCAGGCATCTCTACTTGGTCTACAAATACTTTCTTTGGACTCGTTTCTCGAGTATCCTTCTCATTCTTCTCTCGCTTCTCTAGCAGTTCTATTTCATCTATTTTTTCCTCATCTGTAGTAGGTTCTGGTATGTCTACATCATTATCGTTACCCTTCTCATAACCATCAGTGTCCCTTCCTTCATCTTCCATATAATCTTCTTTGTTATAGTCCACTTTTTCACTCCCCTCATTAGGGAGACTTGCTTTACCTTCTACCTCTGTATTTTGTTCTTTCGAACACCCCAAGTCATCTTCACTTCCTGTTTCACTTGGTGTTCGAATTGGCTCTTCCACTTTTTCTTGAGATTCTTCTTCTGGAGTTGTTTCTCTTGTATCCTCCCTATCCATTTCCAGCACCTCTCTCTGTTCTATTATATCTACTTGTCCCTCATCTGTAGTAGGGTCGTGTACGTCTGCACCATTATTACCCTTCTTGTTTTTGTCTTCATTTAACACCTCCGTTCCTTCCTCCTCCATGTTTTTCTCAACATTATCATCATCTTTTCCCTCAGATGGGACGTTTGCTATTCCTTCCACCTCTGGGTTTGGTTCTAGGGACCATCCTAAGCTGTCTTCAATATCCACTTCATGCGGTGTATGACCAGCCACTTCGTCTAAAGATTCTTCCTCTGCACAAATGTCTCGACTCTCCTCCTCCAACTTCTTTGTCTGTTTGACTAGATCCCATTCCATAAGAGATTCAGGTATGTCTACATGATCATTTTCATTGCTGTCCTCATTTAGGACTTCTGTTCCTTCTGCTTCCATGTTTTCCTCAATGTTATCATCATCCTCCTTATCGTTGGCCACTGCTTTAAGGCCCTCATCAAGTTCGTTTGCTGTAACTTCTACCACTGGATTTGGTTTTTGGTAACATTCTAAGTTGTAATCACTTTCTGTTTCATCCTTTATTCCACCAACCATCTCCACTTGATCTACAGATTCTTCTGGATTAGTTTCTCGAGTGCTCTCCTCATTCTCTTCCAGCTTCTCTGACTGTTCTTCAAGACATACTTGTTGCTTTTCTGGAGTAAGTTCACACATGTCTGCATTACCCTCCTTGTTGTCAAAACTTAAGACCTCTGTTTCTTCCTTTTCCACATTTTCATCAGCGTCATCTTTGTCATTCTTTTCCTCTTCTATATTATCCTCCTCCCCTTCTTTGTCCACTTCTTCATCCACATTTTCCTCATTACTTTTACTCAAATCTGTCTCTGCTCCATCTTGTCTTGCTTCTTGGCGTTCATCTATCTTTTTATTACCTGCTTCTTCAACTACTTTGCTTTTTTCCTCACTTTCCTTGTTCTTTGTCCCTTCCTTGCCAAGTTCTTCTTCTTCCCCCTCTTCTTTCAACACTGCTTCCTCCTCCGTGTCCTCCTCACTTCCTTTCTGTTCCGTCTCCCCTTCATCCAAAGCTTCCTTTGACTCCTCCATGTGATCCTCTGCACCCTTTATATTTTCTTCTCGAACTTGGATTTTCCCTGTGTCTCCCAATGATACATTTGGTTCTTTACTTTCACAGCCTGTTTCCTTAGCATGTTCTTCTTCCATCCCTCCAGGCCATGATGAGAGATCATCCTTATCATTTGTGCTTTCATGAATGCAAACATTATCACAGAATTGTTTTAAGTCTGGGTCCTGCACAACCTGCTCCAAATCTGCTGATTCCAAGTAGTTTTTGTCAGGCTCTAGAACATCGCACTCTTCTGCAGGAGCCTGCTGAAGTGCTGAGGAAATCTCCCTCCTGAGGTCATATGGCATATTAAACTCCTTCATTAGCTGGTCAACAATTACACCCTGAACCCAAATTGATTCTTGGGTGTCTTGAAATTTCGGAATGAGTGATTGTGTCTCCAGATTTTCCCTCCAGGTTTGGAAATCCATCCAGCACTTCATGAACTGGGGAGACGCTCCACTGTGCAAATCAATCAGACTCGCCCGTTGCTCATCCTGGTCCTCGATGGCAGAAATGTTCTGCAGGAACTTCAAGAGTAGCATGGCTTCAGAGTCATTCATTGAATCTGTGCTGTCGCTCGTTAGACTATCTCTCAGAGCCATCACTGACAAAAATGACAGGACGCTTTTACAAGAAGAGCCAAATACCGAAGCCACATGGTATGAAAAATCAAGAGGACTACTCGATTGGTCAGATGTCATTTGTATTGACTGAATTGATGAACAAAGTTCCTGCAAGACCGGTTTCAGCTTTGCTTTGGGGCTTAAAATGTTGATTTGAGATGAAGGTGATTCATTGTTTGATTCAGATGAGTTTTTTGACCATACACAAGTTTGCTGGTGGGTGGGTTCAACCTTTGCCATCGAAACATTTATCGGTGTCTCTTCTTTGGCCGTGAGGGGGACTGAGAGACAAGAAGCTGTCACTCTCAAAGTATCAGAGGGTGTCTGACAGTAATCTTCTATTTCCTTTGTTTCAGTCTTTTCCTCAGTTTCTGACTCATCACCAATCTGAAATAAAACCTTTGTTGGTGGTTCTGGTCCATCTGAGGTGACCATGTACACGACGGGGTGTGGAATGACCTCCTCCAACCAGTTCTCAACATACTGTTGGATTTCAGCGGGGGATCGGTTGAGGGAAATCTTTGAAAGACTTTGTTGAGCCAACTCTGTGGATGACAGCTTGTTGTCAGTCATGGTTATGGACTTGCTGCTTGTCTTTTTTCTTGAATATCGTTGGAGTTTTAAAAGATCGGACACATTCTTCTTCATGGGAGGCCTGACAGATGGTGTATTTACATTGTGGTTATATTTAGAAGCTGATTTATTCCTATTTTTTTCCCTGACTGAAGTTCTAACTAATGTTTCTGATTCTCTTCCATGTCTCACTGAAGTGTTCGTGTGCATTTTTTCACCCAGCCTTCGGTTTGTACTTTCTGTCGAACTGAGGCTTTTTTTTCCAGCATGAACATCATTATTGTGTTTGTCTGCTGGTGATTGTTTATACTTTTTATCCATTAACCTTGACTGGGAGATCTTTTTTGTCTCTATCTTTTTCTGGAGTGGAGTTGGAGAGTTTTTCTCTATTTTGGTGACATTCTTAGGCACTGAAGGTGGTCTGTTTGCCACCTCGAGTGCTAGAGACATTGGCTCTGACGACAAAGACAACATCTCCTCTTTCTGTCTTTGGAGTGAATCAGCAGTAGGCTGCTGCAAACTAAAATCAATGTCATTGCTGGATGAACAAGGCCCTGAGGCTGTGGATTGGTGGCTTTGTGGCCCCGGAGGGGAACGATGCAAAGATGTATCATCTGCGCCCTCATTTGCAAGGCAATTGTTGGAGCTGCCCTGTCTCTCATAAATCCGCATCACAGTCTCCCGAACCTCCGTCCCATCATTTTCTATCTTGAGGACCTCGGCTACTCCTGAGGATTTCAGGAGGGAAGTGGTATTGCCTTTCAGAATAGTTTTCCGAGGCTTTGGGACGGGTTGGCTGCTGCTGCTGCTGTGTCTGACCCTGCAATATCCCTCCATTGTGTCTCCTTCAGTAGTCCTCTCCAAATATGAATAGTGGCCAAGGGTGCTCCCTTGGACCCCAGATTCTGTCAGCATCTTCACAGTCTCAAAAGACGCCTCCTTCATGACACGATGAGAGCCTGGAGTTGAGGCGCATCTGAACCTTTTTCTTGCTTCTCCCACGTTGTTAAAGCAGACCTTTGCTTCACTTGCTGGAGGCTGGTTGGCCTTTTTTGCCTCATCTTCACATAAGTGAGAGGATCCTTTGGCAACGTAGATGTTTGAGTCAGGTGAGATGTTGCCTGACTCGGCGACTGAGGCACCAAGAGTCCTCCTAAGGCTGGAGCGGCTGACTGTGGTAGTCCAGTGGAGCATTTCCTCCTCTTTGATGGTAAGACGCACTTTCATCTCGACGGTCATGCTGCCGTCTTGGTTAACCCGGAAGGATTTCTCGATGTCGTCGTCCTGAGGTAAGAGGCCAGCGTTGCGCTGGCCGGCCGCTGTCGCGGATCGGCACGTCTCCATGCAAGTCGGGTGGAATTCAGGCGACCTAGTGTGACTGTTTGCACTTCCTTTCCGAGACTTGTTAATCTGGTTGATGATGTACTGCTCGGATGACGAAGAAAAATTCCTGGAGCATCTTCCACTGGAGGCTGATTTGTGGTTGTCTTAATGGACAGAAAGATGGGAAAGATCATTTTTACTCAGGTGGTATGGTCATTGTACTTTGTCTTCAGTTATATGACATTTTAAGGAAGATGGTTACTGAGGGCTCTAATTTAAAAGAGACGTACGTCATGATGTAAAATTGGCTTTTTGATTACTTGTATACTCTCTGGAGTGCCTGCCCACCTATCGGGTGTGAAAGTCCTAATGTTTAGTTTTCTTCCTATTTTGGTTAGCGAACTGCTATGCATCTCTGAACCACAGTTATGCAACAGTGGACATGACGGCCCGTCGACAAAAACTTTTCAACAGATGATGACCCCCCGACACACACACACACACACACAGAGTCATCATCAATTATTTTTCTGTAAGTGACATCTTCATTACAAATGAAGGCTTTGATTAGTTGATAATGAGATTAGCATGTGGCTTTAAACAAGATACGCAGTAATACTTGGCTGTGAGGACTGTCAGTCAGCTGTTTTATTTTTGGTTTTGTTTTTTTTTAATGACCAAGCTGACCAACTTCAACACTTACGAGCTTGATGCTGCAGCATGGACGGATGTCCTGTTTCCATGAACATTGCCTGGACCGTCTGGTTTGTCCTTTGGAAACTGTTGTTGCTGAGCCTAAAAGGCTCATTGCCCGCTGCCACTAGGAATCCCGAGCACATGTTGAGCCAACTCTGTGGATGACAGCTTGTTGTCAGTCATGGTTATGGACTTGCTGCTTGTCTTTTTTCTTGAATATCGTTGGAGTTTTAAAAGATCGGACACATTCTTCTTCATGGGAGGCCTGACAGATGGTGTATTTACATTGTGGTTATATTTAGAAGCTGATTTATTCCTATTTTTTTCCCTGACTGAAGTTCTAACTAATGTTTCTGATTCTCTTCCATGTCTCACTGAAGTGTTCGTGTGCATTTTTTCACCCAGCCTTCGGTTTGTACTTTCTGTCGAACTGAGGCTTTTTTTTCCAGCATGAACATCATTATTGTGTTTGTCTGCTGGTGATTGTTTATACTTTTTATCCATTAACCTTGACTGGGAGATCTTTTTTGTCTCTATCTTTTTCTGGAGTGGAGTTGGAGAGTTTTTCTCTATTTTGGTGACATTCTTAGGCACTGAAGGTGGTCTGTTTGCCACCTCGAGTGCTAGAGACATTGGCTCTGACGACAAAGACAACATCTCCTCTTTCTGTCTTTGGAGTGAATCAGCAGTAGGCTGCTGCAAACTAAAATCAATGTCATTGCTGGATGAACAAGGCCCTGAGGCTGTGGATTGGTGGCTTTGTGGCCCCGGAGGGGAACGATGCAAAGATGTATCATCTGCGCCCTCATTTGCAAGGCAATTGTTGGAGCTGCCCTGTCTCTCATAAATCCGCATCACAGTCTCCCGAACCTCCGTCCCATCATTTTCTATCTTGAGGACCTCGGCTACTCCTGAGGATTTCAGGAGGGAAGTGGTATTGCCTTTCAGAATAGTTTTCCGAGGCTTTGGGACGGGTTGGCTGCTGCTGCTGCTGTGTCTGACCCTGCAATATCCCTCCATTGTGTCTCCTTCAGTAGTCCTCTCCAAATATGAATAGTGGCCAAGGGTGCTCCCTTGGACCCCAGATTCTGTCAGCATCTTCACAGTCTCAAAAGACGCCTCCTTCATGACACGATGAGAGCCTGGAGTTGAGGCGCATCTGAACCTTTTTCTTGCTTCTCCCACGTTGTTAAAGCAGACCTTTGCTTCACTTGCTGGAGGCTGGTTGGCCTTTTTTGCCTCATCTTCACATAAGTGAGAGGATCCTTTGGCAACGTAGATGTTTGAGTCAGGTGAGATGTTGCCTGACTCGGCGACTGAGGCACCAAGAGTCCTCCTCCTAAGGCTGGAGCGGCTGACTGTGGTAGTCCAGTGGAGCATTTCCTCCTCTTTGATGGTAAGACGCACTTTCATCTCGACGGTCATGCTGCCGTCTTGGTTAACCCGGAAGGATTTCTCGATGTCGTCGTCCTGAGGTAAGAGGCCAGCGTTGCGCTGGCCGGCCGCTGTCGCGGATCGGCACGTCTCCATGCAAGTCGGGTGGAATTCAGGCGACCTAGTGTGACTGTTTGCACTTCCTTTCCGAGACTTGTTAATCTGGTTGATGATGTACTGCTCGGATGACGAAGAAAAATTCCTGGAGCATCTTCCACTGGAGGCTGATTTGTGGTTGTCTTAATGGACAGAAAGATGGGAAAGATCATTTTTACTCAGGTGGTATGGTCATTGTACTTTGTCTTCAGTTATATGACATTTTAAGGAAGATGGTTACTGAGGGATCTAATTTAAAAGAGACGTACGTCATGATGTAAAATTGGCTTTTTGATTACTTGTATACTCTCTGGAGTGCCTGCCCACCTATCGGGTGTGAAAGTCCTAATGTTTAGTTTTCTTCCTATTTTGGTTAGCGAACTGCTATGCATCTCTGAACCACAGTTATGCAACAGTGGACATGACGGCCCGTCGACAAAAACTTTTCAACAGATGATGACCCCCCGACACACACACACACACACACACACAGAGTCATCATCAATTATTTTTCTGTAAGTGACATCTTCATTACAAATGAAGGCTTTGATTAGTTGATAATGAGATTAGCATGTGGCTTTAAACAAGATACGCAGTAATACTTGGCTGTGAGGACTGTCAGTCAGCTGTTTTATTTTTGGTTTTGTTTTTTTTTAATGACCAAGCTTACCAACTTCAACACTTACGAGCTTGATGCTGCAGCATGGACGGATGTCCTGTTTCCATGAACATTGCCTGGACCGTCTGGTTTGTCCTTTGGAAACTGTTGTTGCTGAGCCTAAAAGGCTCATTGCCCGCTGCCACTAGGAATCCAGAGCACAAGATTAGACCAGCGAGACCTCCAATCTGCAAGACAAGGAGATATTTTACAACATGAGCACCAACAGCCTCTGTTGTGACAACTCAAGCAAGTCAGCAAAAGAATCATACTGACTATACTAAAATCAACAAGGGTTAGGGTTGGAGTCTTCTTCTGTTGAACCGTGTGCGTTCAATCACATCAAGAAGGTCAAATTAAGTTTAAAAAATTGGTGAGTTTTCAAGCTCAAAAAAACACCATTCATTTGTCAAATACATAAAAAAGCAAACAACGATTCCAAGAGGGACTTGTTTCGTTGTCGGGCCTTAATTACTCCCTTCAAACATCAACATCTAAATTAGTCAAGTACTCACTCTTCTTCCGTCAATAGAGTAGAGTTTGAGCACTGGAAATTGCAGAATCTGTGAGAGGTAGTCCAGCAACGCATCAAAGGTGGGTGCCGTCCTTTTCTGCAGCACAATTGTGCGTCTCACATCGGGATCCTTGTTCTTGATGACCACCAGCCTCTTTGGCGTCCTGACGACCACTCGCTCCGCAACCTTCACTGGCCTGCCGCCGCTATCGTCCGCTCTCCCGAGGGAACCAAACTGGCGCCTCCGCCGGCCCACACTGAAGGCTCTGGGCATGTTCCAGGGCACCTGCCGCCGGTTTACCTCCTCCAAGTTAACCGGCTTGACTCGCTTCTGGTCGGAGCACAGGTAGGATCCCCCATCCTGTAAATCGTCCAATCCCTTCACCAGGTGGGTTCCTCGGGGTGTGGTGATAGTCCGCACACCAAAGGGAAGAGGCACTTTTTTGGAAAGGGCATCCAGGAGGGCATCAAAGGTCTTAAAGGTGCGGGCATTGATAACCACACGGTGCCCGCCAAATGTATGATCGCCACTTTTGTAGAAGCATAAACGCTTTGGCACTGAGGGGTCGGACATCGGCTGAACCGATCGGGAGGGTTGCAAAGGCCCGCTGGCTGGAGAGCCTGCCTGGATGGGCTTCTCCTGGATGGGTGTGTTGCTCATGGTGAGTGGCTGTGGAGAAAACACAAAGTAAGGGATATTTAAAATTATATCTATAGGTAGATAGATAGATAGATAGATAGATAGATAGATAGATAGATAGATAGATAGATAGATAGATAGATAGATATACAGAGTAGATAGACCATTTGCGCTCACAATGCCACCTATGGACAATTTAGAGCATTCAATCAACCGACCAAGCATGTTTTTGGAATGTGGGAGGAAACCGGAGTACTCAGAGAAAACCCACGCAGGAAACTCTGCACTGTGAGGCGGACGTGCTAACCAGTTGACCACCGTGCCGCAATAGAAATAATTCTTCTGTGCTTCTATGGTCAATACATTTTAATTGAATCATTATTTAAGTACACTACCCTATATTTCGGCACATTGTTAATGGTCAAAGATGTTATAGTGTCTTCTATAAACCTCAGATTCACTTTTTAGGAATGAAACTTCTTACTTTTGCAGGTGGAACTTGGTGTGAAGAGCGAGAAGTACTGTTCTGTAGTGTTTTAAAGCCGACCCCATCTGACTTGGAAATGATAACCACCTCCGCTACCTTGACCAATTCAACAACCCTCAAAAGAAACAAACAAATAAAGACCAAATAAAAGGTAAGCGGTACAAAAGAGGCCTTCAGGTACTAAAGGACATCTACTGACATGACCTAAGGGTATAAATGCAAAGATCTTACCTTATTTCTCACATTTGAAAGTGTGTATATTAGTCCTTGTCGGAGCTTCAGAGAAAGCTTCTCAGCCGTGTCTACCTGTACGTGTGTGTGTGTGTGTGTGTGTGTGTGTGTGTGTGTGTGTGTGTGTGTGTGTGTGTGTGTGTGTGTGTGTGTGCGCGCGCGCGAAGGGTATTTTAAGACTGTCAGCACAGCGGCTAATTTGCTTAATCTTTGCTCAGCATCAGGTAACACAAAGCATAGAAACATGTCAAAAGAAATTGTCTGACATGTACTGTATACTTGTTTTGGCAGGGGTGGGATGGTTTAGTTACAAATTATGTAGCACGATAAAAATAAAGAAATCTCATCTTTGGACTCACTGGCCACAAAAACCTAGCGTAAAGTTAATACGGGCAATTTGCGATGTGAACATTATTCTCAGCTCAAACAATGCTATTCAGGAACCCACTCTCTTGACCAGGAGACAGCAGAGGTGACTTGAACAGTTACCATTGACAAATAGGCTGCATAATCAGATTGGAGATTTCTCAGGCCTAATAGGGATTAGCTGGAAGATTTTGCGCACTAGCTAGAGGTAGAAAAAAAAGTCAGAGCATGGGATAAAAGCAGCTGATGAATGGGTCACCGACATTTATAAGCAAAATCTAAGCATTTCTTTCATAGTTAATTGATACTATGGAACAGTGGTTCTGAAACAATGTCAAATGTTGTCTAAAGCGCTTTGTTACAGCTGCAACTGTTGTGAAAGCGCTGGATAAGTAATGATGCATTTTAGGTACTGTACTGTATTGTTGTAAAATATGTGGTGTCGCCATAGCTACACCGCTAAGCCATTACAGTATTTATAGAATATAAAGAGTGTTGTTTTCCATGATTTAGTTGATTTTAAAATATTACAAATAATCTACAACATTAATCAAACGCCTCAACTGTAATTATTACCCCCCCCCCACCCAAAAAAAAAAGAGTAAGTAACTATAACAAAACTGAGAAAAGCCGTTCGGACTCCGGTGTCGTTGGTTTGTTTATCCGTCTCGATTATCTGCCCCTTAGTCCATGGGGCATCGATTAGTCAGGTCTGCTACACAGCGGAGGCTCGGGGATCCGCCGCCTCGCCGCTCGAGCGCCGCTGCTTTCATCGGAGTGGCGTGCTCCCCATCCGGGATTGCCTTTTCCTTCTTTGTCTTTCCACTGCCCTCTCTCAGCGCGCTTCGTTTTCGGCTTCCCTGTCGCCATGGGCAAGCGGGAGGAGGAGGAGATCATTAGAATCGCCAAGAAAATGGACAAAATGGCGCAGAAGAAAAACGGGGTGAGCGGCGTTGCAATGCAATGTGATGTGAATGAATGCCAGCCAGGCTAAACGGACGCTGATGGAAACGGTTAGCTCGAAAGAAAAAAAAGTGGCTCTCTTTCAACAAAACGATCCTCTACGGTGACTTTTTCGCCACCGTTGGACCCTTTCGCTCAACGTTCAGCGTCCAACGATGGCTAAAAAGACGCCTCGGTAGGGGCGTACCTGTTATGTTTTAATGCTAAACTACAGGCTAGCTGTTAGCCGCTAGCAACAACAACGGCGCTCAAACCGTCACCGAACCCCCACAACGGGGTGCAATGTTGACAAATGGAGCTTCGTGGCATATCGACATGGGTGACTGCGTTTTTAATAGTTGTCTTGTGTTTTTTCCTCACAGTCTGGTGCTTTGGACCTGCTCAAGGAGCTACGCAGCGTCCCGATGACCCTGGAACTACTTCAGGTAGCCCAAAAAAGCGCACGGTGGTGCCTTGAGATTCGAGTGAGCCGACTTGCGAGTTTTTCAAAATAGGTGACATCCCCAGAAATCTCGCACTCAGCAGCAGTTTGGTAAATAGTGAACTAGACACCAAACAAAGACAATTACGCTGTGGTATTTGTTTACAACAATCACACGACATTGCCTGAAGAATGGCCTGCTATTTTATATGATTTCTGTAATCATATAAAAGATAATAATAATACTCCATTGAAGTGCCAACAATTAGAAGTGGTAATCACTGATTTAGACGTTTCCAAGTCTTAAATATTTGAACGCAAATGATGAACAACACGTGCTAACCAGTCATCCACCGTGCTGTCCTTAATTCTTTATATCCACATTTTTTGATTACCTTTTTTCTGGAATAATCAGACCAGCTCAAGTAATAATTTTGGGTTGTTTTTCGGGTGACCTGGAATAAAATAATGGAATTTGCACTGATTTCCATGGGGTGGGGAATATGATTTGAGATATGAGTCTTTTGAGTTGTGAGCATGATAACGAAACTCCTATCACAAAGCACCATTGTAAATTCAAACTATGGATCCTTAAAAAAAACTCATATATATCTATAAAATTTGTGGGTTTTCCATCACAGTCGACCAGAATTGGAATGTCTGTCAACGCCATCCGTAAGCAGAGTACAGATGAGGAGGTGACATCCCTTGCCAAGTCTTTGATTAAATCATGGAAGAAGCTTTTGGGTAAGTAAACATCCGTTTGTCAAACAACCTCCTTGTCCTGTGCTGTTTTTATGCTTTATGCTGCAGTGAAGTCACCGCGATGACCACCTTCCTATTAGCTATTTTACTACACTTTTGACTCAATGATACGTAGATGCTCCTGTTCAAACATATCTATATCGCAGACAACTCTTTGTCTGTAGTTGGGCTTAAATTAAGCAACTGGTGTACCCGTTAGCAGTGGAACGACTGTTAACTTCCACCACTGCCGATAGTGATCCGCACCTTTCTTTGCATCATCGTGAGAATTTACCTCATTGAATTCAATCTCTGGCTCTCTGATTTCTATTGGAATCTTTCATCACGCACCTGTTGTAAAGTTATTGTCCGTCTTGGTATTTGCAGATGAGCCTGCCAGTGGAGACAAATCCTCAGACGACAAGAGGAAAGATACGGCCCCTGTATCTCCCTCGCAGGGAAGTCCGGAGGCAAAGGAAGAAAGGTAACAAACTGCCCTCTCTTGAGTCCTGTTACCTGCTTGTTTTCTTTCCTGGCGCGTTCGTATTGACATTGTTGTGTTGCTTTACGTTAGCAGTTCCAGCAGTAACTCCAGCGGCAAGAGCGAGCATGCCGACGTCTCCAGCAATTCGTTAATCAACACCTTCCCTCGTGCTCCCGGCACCGCTGACTCCATACGGATCAAGTGCAGAGAAATGCTGTCCAACGCTCTCCAGGCCGGAGGTATCAAGATTAGTATTAGCTCCCATGACTATTTGTAGTCGCGGTGGTGTGTGTGTGTGTGTGTGTGTGTGTGTGTGTGTGTGTGTGTGTGTGTGTTGTAGTACTGACTCATTTGTGTTGTAAATAAAAAGCTGACCATAATGACCGGCACACCGCAGAGTTTGCTGGAGGAGGGGATTCCTCCCTCTTTAAAAAGTCGCAATATCAGCACCAGCTCCGTGCTATAGAATGTACCTATGTATAACTTTAAAGAAAGAACTTATTTTTGCTCCAGATGGCACCCCGGTCACTTGGAATAAACGCAAAACGGAAGCTCGTACGCCTCCGTATTTTCTGCTGGAAATACGCCACAAGCTGCCGTACAGAGAGTTCCATTAGTAGCTCTAACAGTGGTAGTCGTACCCGCATCGGTTGCAGTTGCAGTGGTACTCGTAGATGGAGATTCCTCTGTTGATTCCATTCACACCGTCACTTCTCCCTTCCTTTACAGACGACTACATCGCCATCGGTGCCGACTGCGATGAACTTGGGGCGCAGATTGAGGAATATATCCTTTGCCGTGAAATAAAGTGGCTTTTTAAAAAAAAAAAAAAAATGTAAAGCCAATCCAGAGCTGTGTTTTCTTGACCGCCACTCCTCACGCATATTCCAAGAGTTTAAGAACACGGACATGAAGTACAAGAATCGTGTGCGCAGCCGAATCTCCAACCTTAAGGACATGAAGAATCCCAACTTGAGGAGGACGGTTCTGTGCGGAAGCGTCACCCCCGAGCGCATGGCCAAGATGACCGCAGAGGTGCGTTCACCACCCAAATTGATCCGAATTGTTCTCAAATCAGTGTCGAATGTGTTTACCATATTTGTCGTACAGCGCCACTCATTTTAAACTCTTTTCAACATGGTTTATAGTCTGAGTGCAATTTTTCCTTGGTCATACTTTTTATTTTCTGGAAAGGGGGCCACAACCAATTAATGGCCTTTCCATTAATTTCATTGGGGACAGATGATTTCAGTGCTTTGATTTGCGAGCACGGTCACGGAACAAATTTGACTTCAAGGCACCGACCGTATGTATAAATGACACTGCTCAACACATTTTTGCTAATTGTTTTAATCGGATGCAGGCACACTTCTTGATTTTTTTTTTACGCTGATTCCGCATCTCCCCATGTGTATTTTCCAGCTCACATCGGAAAGGGCTGTTCGATGCATTCATGTTGTTCTTCCTCCTCCGCGCAGGAAATGGCCAGTGACGAGCTGAAAGAGATGAGGAAGAACTTGACCAAAGAGGCAGTCAGAGACCACCAGATGGCCACCACGGGGGGCACGCAGACGGATCTGTTCACCTGTGGCAAATGCAAAGGCAAATGCTGCACCTACACACAGGTACCTTAGCATCAGCACGATAGGTTTCGCTCCGCTTTCGCCGCTTCGACTCGTCGTTTGGTCACGGTTCAACTGCTCCCGTTTGCGTTTTCCGCAGGTTCAAACTCGCAGCGCTGATGAGCCCATGACCACGTTTGTCTTCTGCAATCAGTGCGGAAATAGATGGAAGGTATGTTGCTTTATTAGACACAAGGGATGCACAATATATATATATATATTTTTTAATCCCCGCTGTTAGCTATTAGCTTAGCCGTAGCATGGCATGGCCGCTCCACTTTTGCTTACATCGCATACGGCACCTGCCAGACTCGACAACAATCTACAGAGGTCCCGCTGGCCTCGCACAAGTTTCACATTTTGGGTTGTCAGCCCCCAATCATTTTCCAAACAAATAGGGGTGTGGGGGAATCACTCTTAATGCACCCCACAACACGGGATAGTCGTGAAGGGTAATTTGTCAAAAATATTTGATCATCGACCTTTTACTAACTTTGATCAGAAGATGGGAAAAATGCTCAAAGTAGGCCCAATATTTGGTCCGCAAGTACCCCACATAATAATTATTTCATGCCTATCTCTGAAGAAGTAAGTTTACATAGAAAAACACATTTAATGATTTGTGGGATATTTATGGATATTTTTGTTGTTATTATTCATTGGCATCATTTGCATTGCCAATGAATCCTTTATTTATTTATCATAAATTTTTTTAAATAATGCTAAAACTTATTTGTTGACACAAATGTGAATTTTTCTTGTTTTTTTTGGTGGCTTGTTTCATTTTGTGCGTGGAAATTTTCAGCTGCATTGACATGGACTTTTTCTATGTGTTTATCTTAGTTCTGTTGAGTGTGCAGGCATCTTCCTTTGGCGCTTGGCTGAGTAGCAAAATTACCGGACCAGATCATGTCAATGGGCCGCAAATTGGAGCGTTTAATATTTTTTTTTTTTTCTTTTCCTTTTTTTTATCATGTGGTGTACAGACGGTACACCAAACGCTGTGTAAAGAATGCCACTTGGCTTTGGAATGGACTAAACTCTTCTGTTCATAGTTTGAGCTAATTGTAAGCCCTACCCTCTCTGCCCCCCAGCACCGTCAAAATGCAATCTTTTACTATTGTGAATAGTCGTTTCCCCACTTATTAGATGTATGCAATCAAGCTTGACTCGCTCTTTTATCAGCAATTTTTTTTATATATGTAGATTTAACACCCTGGACAGTGTTGTTATGCTTTCCCTCCACAACAACACTGCATTGTTTATTTAATTTCCCAATAAAGTGTAATCCATTTGATTATAAAACAAACAACCTATGGTTGATGACAATTTTGATGAATTCAAGTGCATCACGTGAAACTGAATCCGGATTATATTGAGCAATTATGAATACAATTGTGCCTTAAGATACGAGTGACTTGATTTACAAGTTTTGTTTTATGAAATGTGAACCGTCATCCGGACAATTTTTGTTCTGAACAATGCAAAACAGCAACACAAAGGAGTGTATATGGATGTCGTTCAATTGTTTGGATGCTAGGTTAGATTTCATCTTTTTTTTGGGGGGGGCGGGGGGTTTAAAGAGATCACAAATGATCACTCTTAAAGTTCTGATCTCCACATTGAAGCAATGCCGTCCTTGTGTCATAAATACATGAGGGTGGAGAATTTATGCTGTTTTCTATTAATTAATTTTAAGGATACTCAGAATATAGCTCAGAATATTCTGAAAACCGAGTCGAGACAATTTTGCGTCGTCGAAGCACCACAACTCAATTTGGGCTGAGAAACATGCACTTAAATAAATCATGAGGTAAATTAACCATCAATTAATCCCTCAGTGTAGTTTATATATTTATTAACCGTACCCCAAGGCTCTCGTGCTGCTCAAAAGAGTCATGTCAGAGTGTGGCTGTAGCTTCTTGACCTTCTGTCCCACAAAACCAAGTTGAGTTGAGTACATCTTCCATGAGAAAGTCGATGCTGCCGAGACTGCGCAAACATGCCCCCTGCTGGCTCTGAGCAGTATCTAATCAGACACGAAGCAAAGGTTTTGAGGCAACGTCGTGGCATCATCGTAGCGGCAGGACTATTAACAGTTTGTAAACGTTGAACTGTTGCAGCTGAGGAGAGCGAACGTCAACGACGACGCAGTGAAACCACCAATAAATTACTTTTATTCGTTTTTAAAATATGGCATAGTCTGAATGTTCTCAACTCCTGGTTCTTTGTACGTGCTCAAAAGAGTCATGTCAGACGTGCATGTAACTCCTCTTCAAACAGCAAACTAGTTGAGACTAAATCAACAGTACCAGGCACTGCACTCACATTTGCTTCTAAATGTAAATAATCAATACTCAGAAAAACATAATCGTGAGACTGGTCAATTGATTTTTCACCAGAACAAGAACACATTTTACAAAAGAAACATCCGAGAGTGTTTTAAAATCATTGTGCTTTATTTTGTCTCAATCAAAATGCCCACAAGGTATCATGTTCTTGGAGAATAGCATAAAACCTGAAAACTAAAACCATACACTGTAAACGTTGACAATTGTTTTTTTTTTTTTAATTATTTAAAAATGTCATCTTCTTTTTCTCTCAGTAAACGCAGCGCAAAAATGAACACATTTCATATATCGTAAACAAGAAGAGAACTAGAATTCATAGGCGTTGCGCCAAAACCGCAATTTGGCGCGTTTGAGGTTGATCTGCACTCGGCAAAGACGTCGATCAGCCAGCCGGGTTCCCCCCTTTCTCCCCCTCCGACATCTTGTTTAGTAGTCGCCACAAAAAAAAAAAAATATCGGAAACACATCAAGATCGACCGATGCGTGGGAGGCATTGTTCCCCTCAGCTGGCTGTTGTGCTCGGGTCCAAAAAATAAAACAAAAGCACCTTTATAGCGAGAGTTTGCCCGTGAGAAAGATGTTGCCCAAACGGAATGTCAAGGCACTTCCCATACCGCCCAACCCACCCATACCCCCGCACGCGGAGCTCGTCCTTTCGAGCAACAAGGTCATGAAAGCAACAAAAGTCAAAAAGGGAACACACAAAAGCATCGGACACTTGGCAACTCCGATCGTAGCGACAAAAGGACGCTTGGCGCGAATGCCAACCCACGACTGGCTATCGTATCAAATCTGTCCGCTGACTTACGAAGTGGCGTGTTCACTGTACGACTGCCATCTGATTAGGTCAACAGTCGTTCAATGCAGTCTAAAATTGTTCACAAGCAGTTGGAAATATAATGAATCATTTGAGAAAAAGTACACTCTCAAAATTCCAGTGACAAAAACCATGTACATTTTGTGACTTTTTTCGAATGCGAAAAAACATTTTCTTTATATTTTCAAAAAAAAATTAATGTGGAGTTTTAAGAAACTAAAGTAATTTAGCATAAATTATCAGATTGTCACTCTCCTACAAAAATGCATCTCCACAAAAAAAAAAAAAAAAAGTGAAAAAACAGGTTCTTCCGATTTTGGCTAAAAAGAAACGTTAAGTGTTAACCGAAAACTTTGTTTAGATTTTATATCTACATTTTATTCTTGCTCTACAATAAAATGCATATCACCATAATTTGAGACTTCTAGCCTAATTGTCCAAAGAAGTTTACTCTTGCGGAGACGTGCAGTTGTGGAACTCAAGACTGTTGTGATTCGCAATCGGCATGTTGCACTTGAGCTTCTTTTATTAGTGTGACATGATCCCCAAACTTTGGACAGCTCTGTTTTACACACTCTTTCCTCCTGACTCACGCTTATTGCTCTGCAGAAATAGTTTGGAAAAATATTCACAGCGAAAACCCGCAACATAGTATAACATCCGCAATATAAAATTATAACGATGTGATATAAAGCCAAAAAGTGAAGTGTGGTGTGGCAAAGCCCGCCTTTATCCTTTTGTCTCGCAGTCCAAATTGGGATGCTAGTGTAGCATAGCGTCTGACTAGAAACGGTTGCTTTTGGAGGTGTATTTTGTAAATTACGACAAAGCTTGTTTCTCAACTTCATTGGAAGGTAATTAAAATTTTTTTTTAAAAACTCCTTCAATGTCAGATTAGTTGTACATTTAAAACTTTTGAGTTGCTCAAGAAATGTCATCATTTCCTTTTCGAGTTAGCATAACTTACACTGTCCTAAATAACAGTTATTTAGTGGTACGAGATAAAGCACTCTTTGATATTTCATCATAAATAAGGTGCCTAAAATCATTTTCAATATTTTACATTACTTTCTCAACCTAATCTAAATTGTATTCCAAAATAGACTTTGGGCGAGTAAACACAGTAGAAAAAAAGTCACAATTACTGACGTCACACAAAAGGAGTTGCCAAGTCACACAAACCCAAGAGTTAGGCTAGATTATTAAAAATAAAATAAATAAAAAGCAAGGTGAAACCAAGGTCAAAGGCTGCGACACACTCCATCCCCCACCCCCCACTGAGGAAGCTCCCTGCAAGGTGGAGCTCGTGTGTTGCCATTGCCTTTGACCTTGATTCTTGTCACGCAGTTCAATATCTCCACGGAAAATACCCATAATTCCATTTGTACTATTTACATATTCACACACACACAAAATAATTGACAGACAAATCGATGTATGTATATCTATCTATATATATATATATATATATATATAGATATATATAGATATATAGATATATATCTATATATATAGATATAGATATAGATATATTCTCTCAAGTAGGAATCATTTACCCCTTCCTGTCACTTGAGCATAAACCATTTTTAAAATTGTCAACTAAAATAGATTAGTTCTTTGAAAAGAAAGGAGTCAAAGTAAGAGAAGTTCCTTTGGAATGTTGTGTCGCTATGTTGGAGTGTGAGCAGTACTTGTGATGTGGAGCCCTCGCGAGATGCTGAGACCTGAGTGTCCCCGAGTGTTGAGGCTGCCCGCTTGGTCGGCGTAAATCCTGCACTGGACACAAGAGAGAGGGCGGGGGTGGGGGAGTTACACACCAAAAAAAGAGGGTAGGAGATCACAGGTCTTTTTTTTTTTTTTTTTTTTTTTTTTTTTTTTTTATGATTCGGGCGACTGCTCGGACAGAGCGTTGAGCAAGTTTTTGTATGCCGAGGAGTTCATGTATCGCGGGTATGAGTCTCTTTGCATGAGTGTGTAGATCTGCAGCTGGGCATCATCGAAGGTGTGCGAGGTGGGCTCCTGCATGTTCCGGTTGATGGATTCACGCACCCGGGAGTCCAAGCTCACCTGAGTAGGACAAAAACAAACACTTCAGAAAAAAGAAAAAAAAATTACATTGTGAGGGTACGTTAGATGTGGCAATACGATTAGACCGCTACAACATTAAGATATGATCGTGGGAGATGATGAGGTCATGATGATGTCTTTCATGGCGCTAATAGCAACAAGGTCAGCAACCTGGTCATGTTCATAATTTTACATTGAGACAATTTGCGCTGATATTAGTTATACGATAAAGTGTTGCAGATAGGTAAACCTCTTTCGGGGAGAGGATGGAGATGTAGTCCTCGTAGATGACGCGGGCCTTCTCCTCCACGGAGCCCTTGTTGCTCTCCTTAGCGAATTCTTGGCAGGCGAGCCAGAAGAGCATGTTCTCCTCGCTGAACTCAGTGCGCAGGAACTGACGGAAGGAGTTGCGTCCGGCCGGGCAGCTCATGAGCTTGTCAAAGGACTGGGCCCAAGAATGCACCTCCTCCAGCGTGGGCTTAGGACTGCAAAAAAAAAACAAGATTGGACGCCGTTTTCACGGATGACAAACAACGAGATGACTTTGCACCCACCAATCTTCACAGTCCGCGGTCTCTTCCTTGACGTCGTACGATGCCTTCCGGTTTCTCTCGTCTCTGTCCTCGTTCCTGAGAACAACAGACACGTAAGTATGACATAACGTCCATTCATTCATCCATTTTCCGATCCGCTTAATCCTGGGTGCTGGAGCCTATCCCAGCCGGCTTCGGGCAGTAGGCGGGGGACACCCTGAACCGGTTGCCAGCCAATCGCAGGGCACACGCAGACAAAACAGCCATCTACGCTCACACTTACACCAAGGAACAATTTAGACTGTTCGCTCAGCCTGCCATGCATGTTTTTGGAATGTGGGAGGAAACCGGAGTACTCGGAGAAAACCCACGCAGGCCCGGGGAGAACATGCAAACTCAGACACAGGGAGGCCGGAGCCAGAATTGAACCCACGACCTCTGCACTGTGAGGTCGACGCGCTAACCACTGGATCACCGGGCCGCCCTTGACATGACGTAAGGCTAATTCATGACGTAAGGCTAATTCATTTTTGTTTGATTCTTTTTACAACATATTGTACGTTGAGGGTTGGTAGCAGGAGCCTACCAGGAGCAGCTACAGCAGCAGCACCAACAGAAGCAGCAGGCGTTGGACCCCCGTGGGTTGGCCTGGCCCGGCTGGCCCTGGTGGGCCGGTGCAGTCCCCCCCGCTGCCGACTCCTGCTGCACCGACATCTGCCTCTTTCGCATCTCCATCGGCTCTGATCCCATGGGCTGCGGGGAGGGGATAGTAGGACGTTTTATGGGAGGCACAATTATTGACACTTTTAGTCTTGACTTTTGGCTCGTGTCGCAAATGAGTGGAGGACAGAGACGAGGGAAAAAAAGCCGAACGGCTTTTCACTTGCACTCTTGATGAAAAGTTTTTTTTTAATAAATAAAAATTGATGCATGTTATGTATGTCGCATGCAAGTAAAAGTAGATAATTGTATGTATATGTATTTATTACATTATTTCAATGAATCACCAACAGAAAAATGGAAACAAAAGCTTACATGTAAGAAATCGAAATTATTAATTTGTATTTCATAATAATATACAAAATTGCATTTTTTAGGACATATATTTATTTTAACTTCATCAATACCCTAGAGGAAAACCAAAAAGAGAAACATAAACAGTAAGCATGTTACTTTTCTTTGAATTGATCAAAATTAATAGAATAGTTTTACTTGTTTTAATTATCTTATCCCTGAGAAAAATACAATGATTTAAGTAATCAGTTCATTCAAAATAAATAAAAAACATTTCTTGAAATGTAATTGAATAATAAAATGAAAATACTAAAAGTTTTGAAAATCAAGATGTACCAAAAAATGAAAAATCCCAACATTTGTATTTCAAGTTCATGTTTTGGGAAAGTGGGAGGGAACCGGAGTACCCAGAGAAAACCCACGGGGAGAACATGCAAACTCCACACAGGAAGGCCGGGGCCAGAATCGAACCCCGCACCTATACACTGTGAGGCGGATGTGCTAACCAGTCGACAACCGTGCCACCACCATTCATTGAGACATTTCAAATTCTCTCAGCTCACCAGTACAGCACGAATAATTGTCAATCTATGCAGATGATAAAGAATAAATGTGAGTACTTTTACATCATTTGTACGTGTGTTACTGCATCGTTTGTGTTCAGTCCATCCATCCATTTACTGATCCGCTCATCCTCATAAGGGTCGTGGGGGGTGCTGGAGCCTATGCCAGCTGTCTTCGGGCAGTAGGCAGGGGACACCCTGAACCGGTTGCCAGCCCATCGCAGCGTTTGTCTTCAATCTGTTACTTGAATTGTTACAGCACTCAACATAAATGCTAATTAGCATTGGCGTGAAGCCTGAAAGGCTCAGCTATGTGTTTGTTTATGCAAAGTATGCTTTTCTTTGTTTATGCCTGCTTACATTTGGTTTGACAGTAAACTTCAACTGGGAGCGGCATCAACAAGCTGGCAGACTCTTTTTTGATGAATTCTTACATATTTGATTATGGTGAAGGGAGTTCGCTACTACCTTGCAGCACTCGTATCGCGCCACTGTATCTTATCAATATTGATGTCAATATTTTTAATGTTTCTGTGTGTGTGTGTGTGTGTGTGTGTGTGTGTGTGTGTGTGTGTTAGCAGATGCATGCAGTGAAAGGTCTTAACGTGCCAACAAAAGGTGTCATCAGCAGGTCAGACAGTACTAACAAATCCTGTCATATCATTTATGTAACACACACACACACACACACACACACACACACACACACACACAGTGCCTGACACAAGGGGGGCGGGGTGGCGGTGAATAGATTGTCGAAAAAGATAGATGTATGTATTTTGATGCAACTGATGATACAAGATTTCGTCTTTTCTCTGTTTGAAAAAAATGTACGCGTGCGGATCTCCAAAACCGATTGAATGGTGAAGAGGAGGGAAAAAGAGGAGGGGTGGTTGGCGGGGGTATCCACCGCACTGCACTCTGGTTTGATTATTGCAAGCAAATGATTCTTTTCTAAATCGCAAATCCCCGCAAAAAAAAAAAAAAAAAACGGGGGGGGGTATAATACCCCCACTCCTCCGCACTCCTCTTCTTCAATCCAGCATCCTCCATTCTTAGCGCGCACACACACACACGGGACGGGCCATACTTACAATTCCACCATGTATGCACAGCGACAAGCGGTTAAAAAGCAGATAATATGTAGAAAAGGACACGCCGCTCTTGATTACATCCGATGGCAAAGCGCTTCTTCTTTTGCCCCCCGCCCCCCTCTCCTCGCCACCTCCACCTCCTCCCCGACCGGCTGCTGCGAGTCACTGCGCATGCGCACTCTCTCCCGACTCGTTGGAGTCGAAAGCTCCGGTTCAGAAAGTGTACGTCGGTCGTACGTTAGTGAACTTAACTTGACTCCCTACAAAATTATATGTGTACTCTTTTTTTCAACTTATAAATAGAAATAAATTTGGGGGATTTTTTTTTTTTTTGCTTTATTCGTGTTTTTCCTTTGTTAAAACCCTTGAGGAAAAAAACTTAACAGATAATAGGTTAATAGACTTTAAAAAAAACTTGATGACAGTAATTCCATGGAGCAAAGCAATAAAATACAAACTGAAACAAATGAATTAAAATAACATCTACAATTTAAATGCAAAAATGCAATTATTATATTTCTATACATTACAAAATGTTTGTTTTATAAAATATAAAAATATTAACAATGAAAATATGACCATGTTGTAAATTATATACGTGTCAATGTCATGATCATTTCAATATTTTGCATATATTTTTGAAGTGTATATTTATTTGGAAGATTATATACGAATATATACGAAAAAATATATTTGAAAAATATATGCGCGCGTGCATGATGTGATGTGCAAATCTCAAAACCCTTTGACAGCCGAGACGAAGCACGGGCAACACTGCCATCTAGAGGTAACATTAAGTACAGCAACGATGTCTCCCATTTAGAGTCGTTCGGAGTATCTGTATTATTTATTTATTTGTTTGTTTAACTATCGTTCTCTCATAAAAAGCCTTTTCCAGCGTATTTGTACTCTAACGGGATGGGAAACCTAAAAATAGAATACAAGGATTTGCAAATAATGTAAGGCTACATTCGATTGAATACACTAACGTCAAGATATTGAATGATCAAATTGACAAACGTTATTGTTATTCGCAAATAGCTATTAATTTTCTGAAATGTTCCTGAGCCCATGTGGTGATATACTTTACACATGTCGGTTTTTGATGCAGTGCCAAATATTAATAAGATAATATTATATTTTGAATAAACATTGGTATTTATAAACCATCTACTTCATGAATATATTTTAAAAAATAAATTATTAAAGGTATTTTATATACGTGTACCCCTACAGTAAAAATAAAAACATACATAAATACAATGGTATACCTTCATTTTGATATCATTCAATATTCATAATTTATCCCAAAAATTACAATACAGTAATACAAGCGTGTCTATGCAAGTCTTGGAGCAGCTGTTACACACCAATGCTCATAAAACAGAATAAAATCTATCAATTTTCATGACTTTAATATGGAAATAGGAAAAAGATTCCCCCTCCCCTCCCTCCCTGAATATACTGTATTGTACAACACTGTGACAGACTGGAATACTAGTTAGTAGTTTATAATTGCAGCTGGACTTGTTGTTTTGCTGTACATAAACACCAGATGGCACTCAACTGCTGTGTCTTTACTTCTTTTTTGTTTTGTTTTTTAATGCACAGAATCGTTGAAATGATGTTTGGAATGATGTTAGAAACATGTGGCCATGTCGACCAAATTGCCACTGCTGGAAAAACTCAAAAGTCCCTTCTGCCAAGATGCAGTAGTTGCATCTGGGCCCCCAGAGACGTGAACATGTGACCTGCTCGACAACACTTCATTTAACACTTGACCCTTCACGGCGTTACGCAACGCCGACCGACAAACTGGCCACGTGACCGTGCACCATGCTCTCTTACTCCTGTGTGTGTGTGTGTGTGTGTGTGTGTGTGTGTGTGTGTGTGTGTGTGTGTGTGTGTGTGTGTGTGTGCGCGCGTGCGTGCGGGCGCGTGTGTGTTGGAGCGGATTTGGGTCCGAGTGTAGAATAATGAAAACCAGCGATTGTGTGATGAAAGCAGGATTGCCAGGTTTGGGGGGAAGGGGGGCTTATAGAGAATGAATGATGTATATATTTTTTGATGGTGAAGTTGGGCAGTGAGTGATTAGCACTGGCGTCTCACAGGAAGAAGGTCACGGCAGCTTGAATCAGGCAGTAATGGGAAGTGTACAAGAGTAAAGAGGACTACCGCTGTATCGGAAAGCCGAATGAGATGATATTAAAGTCAAATGACTCACTTGGAGTGTGCATCTTGATTTGGTACATATCTTCACGACACAGGGTGCAATATGATTCAAGGACAGTTGGATTTTGAAGTGTAACGCTTTGGATTCGGTGGGATTACGATTCGATTCAATATGGCAGGGCTCAGTTTGAGAGGAGATGATGCAGTGAGATTCTTGTTGCCATTTTATTACTTTCATATAACTGAACTTGTCAGTACTGTAAATGTGGCACGTCCTTCATAGCTACATCTCTCTTATAAAATACAATTCGATATCTCGATATATTATAAAATGGAACGATTTGATTCGACGCACTCACATATTTTAAATCAAAACACTAGTTAATTATGTTATTACTGAAAGTTTTCATAAAGTACAATACTCTACTGTGGAGGGATTTTTAAAAACGTATGATTAAGTACATGCCATATTTTTGTTGTTGAACCTTTTTCAGGGGCTGCAACGGATTCGTGGCATATTGATTGGTTTCAATGGGGAAATATGATTGGTGATCTGAACGAGTGTGTTAGGAGCCATCACAGCACCAACTTTGGACCTTTTGGTGTTCCATATTTACCAAGAAAATGGCCCATACAGTCCAATGTTGCCATTAGATTGTGCAGGTGTACCTCATGTTGTGGAAATGACATCAGCTACCTGGAGACACAACACCTTTCTCTTTTAATCTTCCTAAGCCTCCAGTCAGACGTGCTTTAGTCGCCACAAATAGACATTTGATGGGAAGCCACAGTTGCCAGCCAGGCTACCGCTAAGGCACTGACAGAACAGGGACACCTGAACTGTTTGCCAGCCAATCGCAGATAGCTATAGATTAATTACATCATAGGTAATTGGGTAAAAATGTCAATAAATTGGTCGAAAGTGGGTAGATGAGTATTGAAGTGGGTGAGTAGATAAATATGAAGCTAGGGACCTACAGTATAGGTAGATAAATTGTTAGGTAGATATTGATGGATATTAGTTGTAGGTATGGGTACATTATTATAGGCAGGTAATTATGTATTGTATGTCGTCTGTAGGCGGGGGAGGTATTGTAGGAATGAAGTGGTGGTTGGGTAGGTGGTTGGTAGATAGTTAGGGTGGTAAGTTGGTAGACAGGTAGGCAGATAGGAAGGTAAGGTGAGTGGGTTGATGGTACGTGGGTATTGAAGGAGCAAGGTATATATTGTTGGTAGGTAGTAGTCACTGTTATAGGTTTGTTGGGGTTGTTGTTGGTTGTAGGTTGTTGGAGGGTCACAAGGTAGATAGGTAGGAGGTAGGTAGATAGGTAGGGGAGTAGGCGGGTCGCGTGTCATGGGTGCGTACCTCAAGGCACACCATATCCTGCTCATCATGGTCATGTTCATTGTAGGTGACGGCGCACCCAATGCCGCGGCGGCACGCCCGGGTCAGTCTCTGTATACGATGCCACATGAGGGCGCGGCGGCGTCTGACCCCCTCAGTGCCGACGTGGGCCTGACCTCCCAACACTCGGGCCCTCTAGGGCGCGGCATTCTCCCGGAGCGAGGCCTCTGCGCCGCTCATCATCATAGGAAATCCACATTGCCCGTGGCATCTCTGAGGCCGGGATGCGTACTGCTGTGCAGAGCGATGATGGAAGAGAGGTTGAATGAAGGAAAGTGTTTGTGGGGGAAATGGAGCGCAGATGGGGATTAGGACAATGTTATGTTCTTAGGGACAGATTAACGCAGGAGGAAGAGGAGTGACATATTCACGTGACACTTGATTACGTCACGGTACGACAGTCTCAGTTTTATCCTTCAAAAAAAAACTATCTCATACTAAAACATATTTTAATATCAATTATTAAGGCAATTAAAAACAACAACGGCACAAAATAGTTTTTTCATCGTATGTCCTTCTGCCGCTGCGCACGTGACTACTCGCAGTTGCCTGTCATGTGATTCAATCTGACGTCACCGCTGTCAGCTGAGCAAAGGAGCTAGTCGGGTAAGTGATGCATCTTATTTTTTAAACCGATAAGATTCGAATTATATTTTGCACCATTATATTGTGTTATGTCACCGAGTGCTCAATTTACTGTTGGTATCGTAAATTAGGCTGGCCTGGCACGAGAATGTTGCGGGTTAGCAATCTTCGCTTGTTTTGCTAACTGCCTCGCCGGTACGCTAATAACGCCTTTTCACAGTTCTTATCCTTTATGGAATATCGTTTTTCTAGTTCTTAATAAAAAGAGGCAAACTACGTCAAACGCTGACACTAATATTTTAGCTTTCTGATGTTTGCTAATTTTAACTTCTCCGCGGCTCTCATCGAACGATAATATATCATGAGGAGGTCATTAACACGAGACACTGAATAAGTAGTACTCGGCCTACGATGTGATGACGAAAAAGATACTGTACGTAAATCGGAACATGTACTCTTTCACTACCCTACGCTAACGCAGTACTAAAGGCATAGTAACTATACTGTATTGGGGAAAAGTCTTGACAGTGGCTAACCTCTACGTACGGTGAGGCTTTCCAAGCTATTATATGTGCTCATTGAGAAATGGAAGACTTTTTCTTTTGTGAATCCCCAACCAAATTCTTTGTGTGTTTTAACATACTGGTGTTTTCAGAATCTGCAATGTTTTACCCTGCAGAAGAGTAAAAGAGCAAAAAAAGGCCTTCATATGTGCTGCCTTGGCATTTCCATCCAGGTGGTGTGTACCTCATATTCTGTCTCGACAAAAAAGTGCATCTAGCAGCCGCTGAGGATGGACATCCGCGGAGCCGTGGACGCCGCCGTCCCCACGAACATCATCGCTGCCAAGGCAGCGGAGGTTCGCGCTAATCTGGTCAACTGGCAGTCGTATCTGCAGTAAGTCACACACATTGACACAGTTACAATAATGGTCAAAAACTAAGTCACAGTCTTGAGGCGCACATACTCTTTCTGTTATCATTGGAATTGCGATGGACGGCCACAAGAATATTGGCCCCCGGCACAAGTTTCAGTCTATCGTCTATCATACAATAGAGAATCCGAAGTCAAATGCAATTATATCTCAAAAATCACGCAAATTGTGTGTGAACAAATGCCTTCAATTTGCATTGTTTTCTCCGACAAACATAAGTGTCACAGACTTTGGAGGTTCCGCTGCACTTTTCGTCTGTCTAACTTCCCATGTTTGACAACTTCTCCCTTTTTTTTTCTTTTTTAAATTTTTTTTTTTTTAGAAGTCAGATGATCTCTGCAGAGGACTGTGAGTTCATCAAGAAGTTTGAGGTGGCCAACTCCGAGGAAAAGCAAGTCATCCTGACCAATGAAGGACATCAGGTATATGGGTTTGCTCAACTTAAGACACACATGTGCTGTATCATTTGGGGCTCTTGTCATTTTTATTTAATTTTTTTTCCCTTACAGTGTGCAAAGACGTTTCTGAACTTGATGGCGCACATCTCCAAAGAGCAGACCGTCCAGTACATCTTGACCCTCATTGATGACACTCTGCAGGTGTTGTGAGCACCTAGGGACAAACTATTTCAACAATCTCATCCGTAAAATCTTTATAGTGCCTCATCCGCCCCCCCCCCCCCCCCCTCCTGTTATGCAACCGTCTTATTTTGAAATGGAATAAATTCATTACTTTCCTCAAGATTCATCATGAAAACATAAGGCTATGAATGCTTATCTACATGTAATTGTTAAAGTTACACAAATCTAAAAAAAAAAAAAAAAAACCAACAAAACATTTTTTACATTGTTATTATGGGGTATTGTTTGAATAATTTAATACATTTTGGTATAACTTAAATTCGAACATAAAGTGTGGTAAACGTTAAGCAGTGTTTCTACTAAAATGGCAGATATGGCTGGACGATATATCGTTATCGTATCTCGATGGAGATATCAGCATTCAAGATATCAAACTGAGGACGATATCAGTGATATAAATCCAAATGAAGTAGCGTATTTGTCCAAATACTTCTCAACATAAACTACAGACTAGATTGAATGGGTTCTGATTAAAATCTTGAATGTGGCGCAGGAGAATCATCAGAGGGTAAGCATCTTCTTCGACTACGCAAAGAAGACAAAGAACACGGCCTGGTCCTATTTTCTCCCCATGCTGAATCGCCAGGACCTCTTCACCGTCCACATGGTGAGTTCGTCGTTTATCTTCGATAACAAGAGCCTGCTAGGCCAGCCTTCATCTGAAACGTCTTTATCAGCCATTTACGGCAAATTAACCTTTAACCACCGCCCCGAATCAAACCGTTGAGCCTTCCTAATCATCCAGCCATTAATAATTCCTCACTAAACACAACCTCTTGTCAAAAACAGGCCATTAATGTGATGTTACCCTGGCAACCTTTAGAAATGGCCAAGGACCACCCCGCGAGATCACAGCCTGCGCTAAGATAAGACGCCCACGGCATACAGTCATTAGAAACACCATCCCGCACACGCTTTAATGATTGAAGCTGGATGTGCTGGAGTCCCATGAAATGCCGACACCGTAGCCTGTTTTGGTTCACATACGTTTTCGGAGATGCACATCAGATTTCATGTCATTGACTAGTATCTCCATTGGTTTTGGCAGACACTGTCGGCAATTCTTCCTGGAGTCCAGTTGGACAGGGTTGACTTGAGTGCGACTCCCACTTTACTCCGGTGGCTGCGATCCTCTCTTATTGAGCTCATTTAATTGTGGGCACTCCTCGATACCGCCTTCCACATTATGATGCAAACCATCTTTTTACCCACCCCACACAGATTTTTATAACTCGTGTATGCAAATGCAACTCAGCATAATCTTCCAAGTCATCATCCGTTTGAGAATCATGTGAATGTTTTTCAAGAAGAGGCACTTGTGTGTGGCCCCCATCACCCCCTGATGATCAACCCTACCGAGGAACCTTTGTAGCATCCTTCAGCAAATGGTTATGAGGGTAGGAGCCAGTAGCAAAAGATCAATGACGTCGTGAAACAGCAGCTCTGGGAGGCTATTCTGAGATCCTGGAAAGAAATTCAAGCACAAGCTGTCCCAAAAAATTTCACAAGTTCAGTGGATGCAAGACTTGGAGCAGTGCATTTTAACCAAAAACATGTTTCTTCTATTTTGGGAAGAAAACATACCATAATCATGGGGAGATTTGATGAAAAATGTTAAATTATTCTCTGACATTTGACGACTTGAAGATGATGCTTTGTTCCATTTGCATGCACTAGTTGCCAAAACCTGAGAAAAGCATCACTTGCGTCATAATTAGGAACACAATGTAATGTCGAATAAATTAGACCCTATTTAATTGTCTATTCTGTCACGGGTGTGCTTTCACTTAAGATTTGCAGCTGGCGCGTTTTTAATGTGTTTCAAGTCTGTTCTGAGCCAATCTGTATGTAGATGACATCAGCTCTGTATTGATCTAGCGCTGCAACATTTAATGGAATGGCTTGAATAATTTGATTACAGAGAAAGGTGCAAGCACAGTCTTTACTTCGAAGCTTGGCAGGGATAATTTTTTTTCCCCCACAGACTCATTTTACTGCAGCCGCACGCACACAGCACTCCCTGCAGAAATGGCGTGCGATGCAGCAAGCCAAGTAGGAAAGAATTTGTGAGAGAGTGTCCAAAGTTAAGTGCAATGTATCCTGCAACCGCAAATCTACCATTGCCAATACGGTCAATGTTAGCTAATTTGCACTTGGTCAAAATTATTGGCACCCCTCTTTAAAAAAAACAACCAAAAAAAAAAACATAGCTTGATTGTAGGTAATTTTTCCATGTAGTGTATATTTGTCTTCTCTCACCCTTGATCTTGATCTCGGATCATCCAGGCAGCGAGGATCATCGCCAAGTTGGCCGCTTGGGGCCGGGACCTGATGGAAGGAAGTGACCTGAACTACTATTTCAACTGGATCAAAAGCCAGCTGAGCTCACAGGTTCGAGACCCGAAATCACGAAAAATGTTGGATCCCATTGGATTGTACATGTGCTCATCATATTGTCTGCTTAAAACGTGGCATTTTCCAAACTGAATTTAACGTAGTTATAGGCCAATATCACCTCATGGAAAAAAAAATAAATAAAATTTGATTGGAATCTGCACAAGAGTCCAGTAATATGCATCGCATGAATGAAATTATTTTGGAATCAATTTTGCTTTTGATCTGAGTACGGACTTGAGCTACAAGCACCCACCATATTGGTAGCAGGGACTCATCTCACTTCACAACAATTAGCATTTTGGCAAATAGTGAACTTTTTATTTTTTATTTTTTTCCAAAAAGAGGCTTCACATTGTTTATTGCCACTCACAGTTGAGTTGGCTTTCAAATCAAACATAATACAAGAAGAATTACACGTCGTATATCTGGATGGCTATTCGTCTATGCGTGCGCTGCGATTGGCTGGATTGGAAAATGTCTTCTTCCTCATTTTCTCCACAGCGTAGGCTGTATTTAACAGAATTTATAACGTACTTTGACTTGCGGGGTGGGGGGGCATATGCTCCACATGAAGTCATTTTGTGTCTTTTCCATGATTGCTGTCCACTGTATCTGTTCCTGTCATAGCTTGTGTCCTTATAGGAATCGTATTTTCCCCTCACAATCAGACGAAGCAGGATGTTACTCGGCATTGGCTGTTGATGACCTTTTTCAGCTCGTTTATAATTTACTTCTCACTTCTGCTTTCAGCAGCACACTCGGCTCCATGCCATCGATTGCTTCTTTTTGTTTATTTTGTTTATCTCTTAGAACCTACACGGTACAGGTCCGGACACGAGCTCGGGAGCAGGAACCATTTCCCCCAGTGAAGTGAGTATGAG